GTAGGGGGGCTGCAGGGAAGAAGCCAGACAGAGCCCCTCCCTCACGGATCTGCCCCATGGGGCGCACAGACACAGAGCAAGGTGGAACTCGCATTATAGGGTGCTGCAGGTGGTGGCACCCCCATGCTGGAGTCCCCAGCAAGAGAATGTGGTGGGCAGGACATCCACACAGACTGACAGCTGGGCGTGTGGCTGGGCACCTTGGTGGGTTGGGGGTCTTGTCTCCAGAGCTCACTGGTGAGAGCAGCCCCCTTGTGGGTGGTCTCACCGAGGCGTTTGCCTGCAGGGTGGTGAAGGAGGAGATCTCTGCTGATAACGCCAGGCTGCCCTGCTTCAATGGCCGCGTGGTCTCCTGGGTGAGTCTGGGGAGTGTTGGCAGAGGGCGCTCGGCTGGGGTGGGGGTGGTTCCAGAATCGCAGGGGGCTGGGCTCAGGTGAGCTGAGTGTGTGTGTGGGAGGCTGGTCACCTGCACCCTGGGTGTCCTGTGGGAGTCAGTGGCTGGAGACTAGTGGCACCCCTGAGCCTCACTATCCTCCATCCACAGCTGGTCCTGGCGGAGGGTGCTCACTCGGATGCAGGCTCTCAGGCCACCGACGGCCATACTGACCTGCCCCCACCTCTTGAGCGGATGGGCGGCATCGGGGACTCCCGGCCCCCATCTTTCCAGTAAGAACTCTGGGGGGGCTGAGCCCAGTGGTCCTGTGGGGCCCCTGCCAGGCCTATCCGGGGGTAGGCAGCTGAGAGGGACTCACAGACAGTAGGAACTGATTAGCAGAGGAGGGGCCGGCAAAGGCTCAGACCAAGCAGGTGGGTGGACAAGGGCCCCTGTGGAGTCAGGGCCTCACCAGGCAAGGGGAGGCAAAGGACTGAGAGGGGTCCGAGGCGTTGGGGGCCCAGCCTGCCCAACACTCTTGTTGGCACAGCCCGAATGTGGCCAGCAGCCGTGATGGGATGGACAACGAGACTGGCACCGAATCCATGGTCAGCCACCGGCGCGAGCGAGCCCGACGCCGGAACCGGGAGGAAGGTAACAGGCCATACCCTGGGCCCTGGACCCATGGCCACCCCCGGTCCTTGCTGATCACGAGTTACTGCACCAGGCCAGTGGGGGTCTCTGGGAAGAGGTCCTAGGCCTGACTTCTCAAGGATTTCGCTGACCCACCAGCAACCCCATAGTTTTGCTGCCAGCTCTGAGGTCAACGGGCTTGAGGCTGCCCATGACCTCCAGGGATCCTTGAAGTTGGCTCACTTCCCTTCTGTCTCCACAGCCACTCGGGCCAACGGACATCCAAGGGGGGACCGGCGGCGGGACCTGGGCTTGCCCCCTGACAGTGCCTCCACCGTGCTGAGCAGCGAACTCGAGTCCAGCAGCTTCATTGACTCTGAGGAGGATGACAACACGAGCCGGTGCGTGGGCCTGTGCAAGGATGTGTGCACGTGTGTGTGCATGTGTGCTCATGTGCACAGGCATGTGTGTGTTCAGGTATGTGCTGTGTGTTTTGACGCATGCACCTGTGCAGGTGTGTGTGGGCATGGTCATGGGCATGTGCACATGGGTGTTCGTTGTGATTGTGCAAATGCGTGGTATTTGTTGTGGCTGTGGGTGTGTACACGAGCATGTGTGCAAATGGACGTGGGGGGGCATGTGTATGTCATGCTTGTGTGTGCAAACGGGTGTTTTACAGGGGTGTGTGCGTGTTGTATACGTGCATGTGTGCACAGGTGTGTGTCCATGTGCACTTTGTACACACACGAGTGTGTGCCAACATGAATGGCCATGTTGACTTACCTGGTGCTTGTGTCTCCACGTTTGCTTCGATCTTTACTCTCTTTATAGAGAGCAAAGATCCCTGTAGGTTCGGGGTTTGCACATCACACGTGCAGGGTGGGGTGTGTGCAGCCAGGAGCTGAGCCTTCTGACAGATACCACCTGGCCCCACCTGCCACCTCTGGTCCCCTCCCCTCTGCACCTCTGACCTTCGTGCCCCCTGACCTCCATGCCCCCCCACCGCACCCGCAGGCTGAGCAGCTCTACGGAGCAGAGCACCTCGTCCCGGCTTATCCGGAAGCACAAGCGGCGGCGGCGGAAGCAGCGCCTTCGGCAGGCAGACCGCGTAGGTGGCAGATAGCAGGTAGCGCCCCGGGTAGGCGGGGTCTGTGCTTCCGGCCCACCCCTCACCTTGCGCCCTGCCCTTCCCAGGCCTCTTCCTTCAGCAGCATCACAGACTCCACCATGTCCCTGAATATCATCACGGTCACGCTCAACATGGGTGAGGATCCAGTGGGGTCCCTGGGCAGGTGGGGCGCCCCTAGGTGGAAATGGGAGTCCCTGGCTGGGGGTGTTGGTTCCCTGGGTGGGAACGGGGGTCCCTGGGCTGGGCTGCTAACTACTCCTACCCCCCAGAGAGGCACCACTTCCTAGGCATCAGCATCGTGGGTCAGAGCAACGACCGGGGCGATGGTGGCATCTACATCGGCTCCATCATGAAGGGCGGGGCTGTGGCTGCGGACGGCCGCATCGAGCCCGGAGACATGCTGCTGCAGGTGGGGGCACAGGGAGCTGCTGGGGGCCAAGAGGCCAGCACCCCTGCCCACCGCACTGAACCCTTGTCCCCCCAGGTGAACGATGTCAACTTTGAGAACATGAGCAATGACGACGCTGTGCGGGTGCTGCGGGAGATTGTGTCCCAGACAGGGTGAGGCCCGAGGGACGGGGGGGGGTGGCACGCGGGGGACACGGGACGTGAGGCCTGGCCCACGTGACCTGTCTGTTCCCGCCCCGCAGGCCCATCAGCCTCACGGTGGCCAAGTGCTGGGACCCAACCCCCCGGAGCTACTTCACGGTCCCGAGGGGTGAGTGAGCCCACGGGTGCTGGTGCAGGGGTGGGGGGACGGGGCTCCCGGCCCAGCCTGAGGGCCTCTGTCCTCTTTGTCCTTTTGCTCCACTTTCTCTCTTATATCTGTCCACCCATCTGTCTGTTGCCACGCGGTGGCCACCCAGCTGACCCCGTCCGGCCCATCGACCCAGCCGCTTGGCTGTCGCACACGGCGGCGCTGACCGGAGCCCTGCCCCGCTACGGTACGAGCCCCTGCTCCAGCGCTGTCACCCGCACCAGCTCCTCCTCACTAACCAGCTCTGTGCCCGGCGCCCCACGTAAGTGGCAGCTCTTAGTTTAGGGAAACTGAAGCACCAGGGCCAAGGATCGGGCTGAGGTTCCACCTGGCACGGTTGCACCCAAGGGCCGTGCCAGCCTCAGAATCCATGCTGCTGTGAGGCCCCTGGGTCAGATACCGGGCCCACATGTGCCTACAGGCTCAGGTTCCTCCCAGTGCACATCCTGTGCCATGCGAGTGGAGGTGCCTGGAGGGGCTGGGCCAGCCTGGGTCCCTGCCCAGGGATCCTCTGTGGCCGGGCAGGCAAGTGTGCCCATGGTGGAGCTCCACCTGCTTTCTACCACTAACACGACTAACAGCTCGGAGGCGGGGAGGAAAGAGGCTGTGACCTGCGGGGCTCTAGGCTGTGGTGGGGATGCCTTGCCCTGGTTTGGGCCCAGGTCCTGTTGAAGTATCTGCAGGAGTAGGACATCAGTCCCCGGACACCTGCTTCTGGGCCCCGGGTTCCGAGGGGGTGCAGTGGGCGGCGGCCTGTGCTGAGAGCCCGGCTGCTGCCCGCTGAGGGGGCCGTGCCTTGCAGAGCTGGAGGAGGCGCCTCTGACGGTAAAAAGTGACATGGGAGCCGTGGTCCGGGTCATGCAGCTGCCGGACTCTGGCCTGGAGATCCGCGACCGCATGTGGCTCAAGATCACCATTGCCAACGCCGTCATCGGTGAGCGGCCCGCCGGGCGCTGCGGGGTGGGCAGCAGGGGTGGCCGGCTCCCGCCTCACACGGGCCTCGGCAGGTGCTGACGTGGTGGACTGGCTGTATACGCACGTGGAGGGCTTCAAGGAGCGGCGGGAGGCCCGCAAATACGCCAGCAGCATGCTGAAGCGCGGCTTCCTGCGGCACACCGTGAACAAGGTCACCTTCTCCGAGCAGTGCTACTACGTCTTTGGGGACCTGTGCAGCAGTGAGTGGGGGGGCTGCAGGGTGGGGGTCCTGGGGGACCCGCTCACGCCACCCTCACGCGTCTTTCCCTCCCACCAGATCTTGAAGCCCTGAATCTCAACAGCGGCTCCAGCGGGGCCTCGGATCAGGACACGCTGGCCCCGCTGCCCCACCCGGCTCCCTGGCCCCTGGGTCAGGGATACCCCTACCAGTACCCAGGGCCCCCGCCCTGCTTCCCGCCCGCATACCAGGACCCTGGCTTCAGCTACGGCAGTGGCAGTGCTGGGAGTCAGCAGAGTGAAGGTGAGAGCCCGCTGGTGCCTAGCTCCCTGCCGCCTGCCGCTTATCTCTGCCCTGTGTGCCCGCTCCCTGCCCTGTGCGCTCTGCCTGCTCTGTGCTCGGGTTCTGGGTGGGCTCCCGCTGCATGGGGGGGGTGAGGAGGAGGAGCCTGGAGGCTTTGTGGGTTGCGGGGCAGAGGCAGGAAGTCAGGAGGTGGTGTGGGAAGGATGGTGTGGTAGCCTGGGGTGGGGGAGGGCAGAGGGGCCCCAGGACACAGTGGGGGACAGAAAGCTCCTCCAGACACCTGCAGCCCAGCATGGAGCCAGAGTGGCCATCTTCACAGATAACCCCATCCCCACGCTGGGATGTGTGGGGAGCTGAGGGGACAGGCTGGGGGCATTCCTGAGGAGGAACAGTGGCCCGAGGCTGAGTAGGGACCAGTGAGGCCAGAGGGCAGTGCCCATAGGGTCAGGGGAGAAGTCAGGCAGCTGGCCCTGTGGATCCAGACAGGAGAGCAGGTCGAGGCCCGCAGTGCCAGAGGGGAAGCTGGTGGGGGGCATGCCCTGTAGGAGGGCAACGGGCGCGGGTGCCGGGCTGGGCCTGGTGTGTAACTCATGCTATCCCTTGCTTTGTGCTGAGCAAGCCTTAGACTGAAGGACTAGCGGAATGGACCCTCGGGGCCGGTAAGCCAGGGTCCTGCCCGGCGTCCCTCTCGGCATGTCCCTAGCCAGCTGGCGTCCTTGAGTTCCCAGCGTTTCTGAGAACCCAGGGCAGGGCTGAGCCGAGTAGTTAGCCAGGGCCTTGGGGTCCAGTGGAAGGTGGGTCTTCGGGTGGGGGGGCCCAGGTTGGCCAATGGGAGCCGGCATATGGGGTCTTCACGGGTGCCTCAGTTTCTCAGCTGCTAGACCAGGCACTCCATGCAGGCATTGGGGTGAGGTTTGGGGGCATCGAACTGGCCCCAGCGTGTCCCCACCTGCCTGCCACTGCCCCCTGCCCCCGCCTGCTGCAGCTGCTCCTGCGTCTCTGGGCAGGGCCAGTCCTGCTCTCGTGTCTGCATGGCCACCCCTCTCATCCCCGCCCCGGCTCGGGACCACCAGGCTCTGCCCTAGGTGCCCTAGCAGGGGTCAGTTGTCCTGGAAGAGGTGAGGCCTGGCACTGACAGTCCATTCCTTTCCCTTTTCCATCCCAGGAAGCAAAAGCAGCGGGTCTACCCGGAGCGCGGGCGGGAGCAGCCGGCGGGCCCTGGGCCGAGAGCAGGAGCGCCGGGGGCCTGGAGCTGGGGGCAGTGGCAGCGAGTCAGACCACACGGCCCCAAGCAGAGCAGGTGGCAGCACTTGGAGGGAGCGTCCCGCCAGCCAGCTCAGTCGTGGCAGCAGCCCACACAGCCAGGCCTCGGCCACTGCTCCGGGGCTCCCCCCACTGCACCCCCTGACGAAGGCGTACTCAGTGGTGGGTGGGCCGCCTGGGGGGCCCCCTGTCCGGGAGCTGGCCGCTGTCCCCCCAGAGCTGACAGGCAGTCGCCAGTCCTTCCAGAAGGCCATGGGAAACCCCTGTGAGTTCTTTGTCGACATCATGTGACCGAGGACAGCATGCCTTCTGCCCGCCTTGCTGTGGGGGCCCCGGGGATCCTGTTGCTCCCGCAGGAGGGCGCTACATCTGGAGTTTGTGTGGCCTTGCCTTAGCAGTGGCCGTCATGGGTCAGCTTTCCATGTGCACAAGGGGCCATGCTGTGGGGTCCGGAGCAGACGGAGTGGGAGCAAGCTGGAGGGCAGCCTGAGCTCCCTGATTTGGACTCAGCACTGCGTCCATTCCTGGTGAGAGCAGCTGTGTCCATGGGGATCTGGGTGGGGGCATCTCTATACTCAGCAGTCTGACCTGCCTCCCTGGTGTGTGCCTCAGGGACCCCCAGTTGCCCACAGCGCTGTATACAGGGCTCCAGGCCAAGCTGAGAGGTGGCTGCTGGGCCTGGGCCCCACTGGTCACTCAGTTTGCAGGCCCCACCCATCTTGCCTAGGCTGGGGAACCATGTTGGGGGTGGAATCAGAGCCTCCAGACCTCTCTGGCTGCCCAGGGTAGGGGTATAATTTATTTATTTATTTCTTGTCCTGTGTCCTCTGGGAAGGGTGGTGGCCAAGCCAGCCCCCATGCCCAGCTGGAGCAGAGTTTGCATGTCCCCCCACTGCCGGGTCTCGGAGCTAATGCAGGGACACAGGTTGTGTCTGAAAGTGTGTGTGGGGGGTGGTGAGGGGGAGACGGGAGAGGGGCACATCTCGGCGGTGGTAGGAGTGGGACTTGACCCACAGGCGCTGAGCTGCTGCAGGGACAGGTCTGGGGGAGAGGGGCGGCCAGCCCGCCCTTCCCTGCTGCCCTCAGGTGACCACCCACCAGCACACATGGCTTCCTTCCCAGCGACTCTGGCCTGCACACGGCTGCGCTGTAGATACTGTATCACGTCAGAGCGTCGTCTGGATAGTTACTAGAGCTGCTTCTGTGTAAATGCTATTTTAAACACTAAAAAGCGTTTTAATTTTATGGGACTGAGGTGTGGCCTGTGTCTGTTCTCTCCTGCCTGGCTGCCTGAGGAGACTGGGGTGTGGGGGTCGATCCAGCCTCCCCGGGTCTGGCCGGAGTGGAACCAGGACTTGCCGGGTGCTGTCTTCTGGGCCTCCGCTCAGCAATGAGACTGTGACCCCGGCCGGCAGCCAGCAAGGTCCTGGCGGAAAGTCTTCTGTCCGAGGTGCTGGCTTCTGGCTCCAGGGGTCTCGGCGGCTGGCGCTGGCCTTGGTGCTGAACCCCCACCCGGCCTGGGCTCTGTCCGCGGTGCTGGAGGTGGGCTGACCCCATTCTGCGTGCTCAGGCCAGGCCAGGGAGAGAAAAGGAAGCTGGTGTCCACCTTCCACCAGAGTGGGCCTCTGTCCTGCACTGGGGCCCATGGTCAGGGCAGCTGTAGGCCACTCACTAACCTCCCACTCCAGTGATGATTAGAGGGGTGCTGGGCGGGGGACCCAGGCTCGGCCCAGCCAGGTGAGCGATGTCCAGCTGTGATGTTTCCTGAGCTCTCTGTGGGCCGCAGGGGCTGAGGAACCCTCTCTAGGCCTCCTTCTAGCTGGGTCACTGGGCGGGCCTTAGCGGGGCAAGGACAGAGCCTGACTGGGGCACCAAGAGGTGACATCTCACAGGGCCGAGCCCCCTCATGCCCAGTGCAGGCCCAGGGGTCATCAGGTCAAGGGCAGCAGTCAGCCTGGGTCAGAATCTAGGGAGGGGGGGGTGTCTCGGCAGAGTCCGGCAGTCTGGGGGTTGCTATATAGAGACTAGGTCTGGGGTCACTGGGGTGAGGTTACTGCGTCATGCGCCACTTGTTTTTGCTGAGTCACTTCTCCACCCCCACTGCTGCCCTGCCCTCTGGCACTGCCAGCAGGATCCCCTCCCAGGAAGAACTCAGGGGTGTTGCTTTCCAGCTGCCGCAGCAGCAGGTAGCACTTGGGCAGGTGGAAGGTGGCCAGGATACCCAGGGCGCAGAGGAGGCTGGCACCCATCTGCACAGCAGGCTGGTAGGCCACGTGCACGTTGGCAAAGATGGGCACAAAAGAGACCCAGGTGATGAAGTAGACCAGTATGGCAAAGGTGAGGCCACGGGCGCCATTATAGCGGCCAGGCTGGTGGTGTACCAGGAAGGTGCCCAGGAAGCACAGGGAGGCCAGCACACTGTTGGCAGCGTGCACCAGGCCAAAGCTGACCCAGGAGCGCACGCGGCAGTGCACCAGCGCCTCTGTGGGCAGTGCCCCCCAGTCTGTCACCACCTCCGGTGGGAAGGCCACCAGGTACCAGGTGCACAGTGCCGCCTCCACCAGTATGGCCAGCAGCACTGTCAGCCAGGCCTGGGGCCCACGCAGGTGACCGAGCAGCCGGTCTGCCCAGCTCGGCGGCAGCTCTGACTCCACGAAGATCGCCGCCGCCTGCAGGAAGAGGGTGCTGAGGCAGCCAGTGAGCGGCAGGTGCAGCAGCGGCTGCTGGGCCAGGCAGCTGGCGCGACTGGGCCGGCCAGGGAGCAGGAGGACACTGAGGCAGACGAGGCCCAGGCAGGCCAGGCCAAAGCAGGCCCGGGGCCCTCCCGAGGCCCGAACCAGGGGGCTGTCCCGGTGCCAGATGAATAGCCCCAGGGCCACCAGCACCAGGCCCAGTGCCAGGCCCAGCAGCGCCAGCAGCAGCAGCACGGCCGGCTCCCCCCACGCCAGGAACTTGGGCCTGCGGGGGAAGCAGTGCAGGCTCCTGTCTGGGGACCACTGGTCTTGGTCACACTGGGTGCAGAAGAGGTCATCTGTAGTGTGGGAAGAGAGAGGGTGCTGGTGGCAGGGTTTCCCCTGGGCTTGCCTCCACCAGGGGCCCTGGCCTGGGTGTCAGCCTGAGCCAGGACATGCCAGGACCCTGTCTAGCTGTGTGCTCCTGACCCTGCGGTCCCCTCCCCCACTCCTGCCTCCGCTTGTATAGATCAGCAGGGAAGGGCGCTGACCCGGGAAGGGGGCTCACCTGCGTTGCGCTGGTAGCTGCCTGCCTTGCAGTCCACACAGTCGTAGCAGCAGGAGTGGAAACCCTTCACCCGGCGCACCTGGCCCTCCTTGCACTGCCTTGAGCACTGGGACACAGGCTTCTGGAGCCAGGGCTCAGGACTTAGGCTCTGCTGGGCTGGGTGCACCCACCAGGACCTGGGGATGCCCCCCCCCCCCC